CTTGAATTGTGTTTATCAAATTCTCGATTAATAAGTTCTTTATAAATTTTTATTTGCTTGACATTAAAGAAAAACTACATGAAAACGACTATGAATTATTCCAACTTAGCGAAACGTTATTGTGGTGCACATTTATCATTATTCACAACATAACAATAGCTAGTTGATATTTTTATTTTGTTGATTTAATAAGAGCGAAATTAAAGTATACAGGAAAACCTCTACTTGTCAACACTTTCTTATTATGAACGGTCTCGGGGTTGATAGGGCGATTCTTGCTGGAAATGCAGTTCTCTAATATGAATACCTTCGTATTTTGAACAGTGAACACTTTTTGATGGTCCCGTTTGCCCATATGACTTTACTTTTGAAGTATGAATAAGTATATTTTGTCTATGATTTGACTGCTGTACGGGTGAAGTAAAGAATGACAATACAAAGCGAGATTAGTAGGTAAAAATAAAAATACTCTTAAGTTATGATAATACAGACGATAATTGTTTATTAATTTAACAGAAACATTTGTTTTTTTTAGATTAACAGATCTTACCGAAAAAACCTGTTTTTGTTAATCATGCTTACTGTTACGCCTATTTCATAAACCTTTGAGTATTAAAAAGTAAACAAAATAGTCGTTCAATGATTCATAAGGAATTGGTAAATCATTTTTTTTAAAATTTACAAAGAGTTATTTTGATTATATGCCCAACATCATCGTGATGAACATCCAATTGAACAATTTTCGTGTTCACTATTCTCACAAGAAAACTAAATATATTTTTGTTTCATTTCTTGTTAATAATAAGAATGAATATTATTTCCATGACAAACAAAAACAAAATGTTCGTTTTTGATACTGTTTTTTTTTGTTATTTAATTGAATGTCAAAATAATGTATGAAAACAATCAAATTCAATAGTAATTAAATTAGTTTCACTAAATACAATCCGAATTTGTGCTTTCTATTTGGATAAACTGTTTATCAAATAAAATATATTATATCCATTATAGAATAATGATGTTGAGGAAGATGATGACTTAGTTTAGAAAGCATACTGTTGATGAGAATAATTCATTCTAGTCTTTGTATTAATTGACCTATGAATCGATCTATTTTTTTCATATTTTATTTCTTATCAAAGTTAAAATATAGATAACATTGACAACATAAGAAGAAAAAGAAGATTTCTGTCTTTCGAGTATCTCAACATATTCGATGATGACCAGCAGCAGATTGAGTAACCCAATATCCTCCATACAACACATACTAGCAGTATCTCTAGTTCATTGCACAATTTTTATGCTCAATTGTCTCTACTTCCTATAACACTAACTACCCACATACTGACTATAGGAACAGATGTATGTTAAAACGTAGTCAGCGTGCTATCGGACGAATGATCCGAGAAAAACAACTGTTAGTAACTTGTTCAAGTCATGCTGGTCTTTGACAAGACAAGATAATCTTATTTGGAAAGTATTTGTTGTTCAAATTGTTTTTCGATTAGCTAGACATTGAGATTGATTTCTTTGTAGGAGAATAATTAATCAATGTTGATGATAAATGATTGAAATAAAGATGATTTGATAATTTATTATTTCAATATTGATGAGTTAAACTTCTAATTGGATAGAGAGAATCTAAAATAAAAAATGATAGATGTATAAAGAATAAATAAAACACTATCATGTCATTGTAATGAATATTTTTTTTGAATTTCCAGTTTTTTTATTTTTATTATTCCGACAAAATTCATTATCAGAAGATATTTTTGAAGTAAATGAAAGATTTCAACGATCTTTTATTTGTTTGATATGATGTGTACTTCGATATACTATATTTCATCTTGATAACAAAATCTATAAATCAAAATTATATCATTCTTTTATCTTTTTGTTTTAGTCATTGATAATGAATGTTTCTTATTTCTTGAATATCCTATCTTTATATGTATGTCATCAACTTTTGTTTATAATGTTATATTTTATTCAGATTCTTTAGTATTCTTTTTTTGTGCTTCGCACATCGATTAGGCAATTATTCATTTCTTATCTCATCTTACTCGATGTGGTAACTATTGTAATATTGACTGATAGACTTGATAAACATCGAGAAAAAAGAAACGGCTCACATATCTTTAAATGTACTCCGATAATATGATTCAAGTTATCTTAATCGCTTGTCGGAGGATGTATTCGTATTTTTTTGTACTTTAATTCCTGTCATTATATGTATGATTAATTTTAATCTTATCATTTGTAATGTATAGTAAAAAGAAAAGAAAAGAAAAGAAAGGTACAATCTACTAGATCATTCTTTATCTTGAATAGATGAATAAATTATAGATGAAATTCTTTAAGCAATCGATCGATCGATGGATTCTGCTACAGTATATGATTATTTTGAAAACGATGAACGAGATTGTTATTGGATAATCAATGTTTTTTGATGAAAACATTTTTTATTTTTTAATATTTGAGTCGATAAAAAAAAAAACAACTGAAGTTATCATTATGTTCAATAAAATTGTTTGAATGAATGAACATTGTATTTAACTGATAAGGTTGAATCCTTTTGTTAAAAATGTGTCACTATTAATTTTGATTTCACTCGTTCAATTGCTCTTACAAATGATTCATACGCATTTGATATCGATAGCAAACAAACAACGAAGAAACGATAATGTTCAATGAATTATATTGCGTTACGTATGGAAGAAAGACATAAAACAAACAACAATTATTTATCTTACTTTGAGTACCAATGTGAGAAAGAAGGTAATCAAAGAACGAATAATCAAACAAAAAATTATTCTGTTTTATGAAAACTGATCGTCTTTTGCATTGAATAGAGATGTTAAACTTCTTCTTTTTTCCTATAACAAAGTGAAACGCATGTGTTCTGTATCATTGAAAATGAGAATAAGAGCAAAGGTGTTACATTCAGCTGTATATCATTGCTTTTACAAGTGAACTATGTCTAATGAAAAAAACAAAAATCATTTAATGAAATCCTGTCAATGTGTGACAGTCGACTGAATATAAAATTGACAGATAATGGTAAAAAATAGTTCATTGAATAATTTTCAGAAAAGATAGAAATGTTCTAATGAATAGTATCACTTGCATTAGCAAAAAAAAATAACTATGTACGCAGAATAAGTAATACTCACGCATTTTGCTCTGTAAAAGAATTCCATAATTGAATTTTCTCATTTTATATTTTCCATATAATAGTGATTATATCAAAAAAAATCAGTTGCATAATAGTTCTAAATCGAAATGTTTTCAATATGTTTGACATTACTTAAATAATTAAAAATTCCTATTTTTGTTTGACAACGATAATAATAGTTTTCGTTACGAAACCAAGATACTATGTCTACGATTGTTTATTTAAGACACAAGATTAAAAAATGTTTTTTATACTGTATATACATAATTAGTAATCAACAGACATTCATATTTCTCCTCGACTTTTATTTACAGGCAATTAAACTATGTAAATCATTCATTTTTCTTTACTTGCTCATCAATATAGAAAAGATGTTGTTATCAGCTGTTGCTGTCTATTTTGATTTGCTGATCTCATCAACTTCATTTATATATAGACTAAAGACATTGCACGATACTATGACCATGAGCGAAAAAAAACAGGTTATTTCCATTAATCATGAGTCGTTTGCATCTTTATGAGATTTCAAAAGTCATCATGAGAACGATGATTGTTTATCTTATTATTGAAGAGCACTTAACATTCATGTCATATAAACAAGTTTGTTGTTCTTTTCTTCTCAATCAGTCTATCTGTCTATTGAAGTAAAAACTATAGGATAAAGGTCATGTCTACATCATTCAAAATTATTAATTATTAAACTTATTTTTATGATGTAAGACATCTCGAAGTTTTTTTCTACATTGATAATAAATATATAATAGTGATTAAAAGCAATATATGGTATGCTATGTTGGCATTCAAGGCTACATGATACTTATGTATATGTATATAGTAGTCCTTCTCAGTTAATTTTCATTCTATTTTGACGTCTATTCATTAGTGTCTTCCATTAAACGTCACCCGTGATACTGATCCTAAGGACAAAAAAAAAAACAGAAAGAGAGCACTTTACACAAGGGTGTCCTGAGGTCATCAAAATTGATGAGAAGAAAAAACAAAGAACAAAGAAAATCGTTCAGTTTTACTGGAAGAAAAAGAGTATTTTCCAAAATCGCATTTGAGATACTATGATCATAAAATTAGGTCAGAAAGTAATAAAAAGATATAGTTGTATTGTAAGTTTGAACAAGCTGCATATATTGATGCAACTGGCATACTCACATCTGAATAAATCACTTCATGAGTAACACTTCTTTGATCATTAAGTTTACTGTGAATACTAACTTCTTCAAATGATGATTTAAATCACATGACAAATTATATTTTATGCTTGATAAGTGTCATTTAGAAATCTATTATATGCAGAAATTATCGATTAACTAAATACTAAAACAAATTATCATAATAGCTTATAGAGTATTTTCTATGGTATAATCACGATTATTCATTCATTTATTATGTATGGTGACGATATAACAAAAAACAAGAATGATTGTATAATACAGTGTTATTTTTACTTTTTTTGAAACAATAAATTCAATCTGATTTGTTATGAAAATATTCATACAACTAGAAAAGTTCTTTGAAGTATTAAAATCTCGAAAATCTTATTAATTTTGCAAAAAAAAAATATTTCAAATTCGTTTAATTAATTATTCAATTGTATAGACATATAATAATGAAAAGTTCTTTTTTTTTTAGTGTATCTTTAATTTAAAATCAAGATATTAACAATGACATTAGTTATTAGTCTTCGTTGAAAAATAATTATAGTAAGATGAACAATATCTATCATTATTAAACGTTTGATTGTTTATTTTCGTTCCATGACAAATGCAAAAAATCTACTTTGAATATTATATAAGAAGTCAATTATTTCATATTACAAAACAGTCTCTTTTAAACCTTTAAGAGATAAAAATGAATTAATATGATGATATGCTAAACATGTTTGTGGTAAAAATCCAATTGAACCATCATCTTCTTTTTGTACAAGTAATGTTGATTTTCCAATACGTTTTAATAAACGTACTTGATCACCACGTATAACTGAAAATATATTTGTTCCATTTGTTGTTGATAATAATGATGAATTTTTATATTCATGCCAAACAAGATATGTTCGTTTTTTATGATGTTTTTCATTATTCATTGAAGTTGAAGAAGATGAAGATGATGATGATGATGATGATGAATATGATGATGATGAAAATGATGTTTGAAGAGAATCAAGTTCAATAGCAGCTAAATTAAGTTCACCAAATACATTTGAATTTTGTTTTTCATGATTTACTAATGGATAACAATGTTTCATATCAATTGTTGTAAAATGATGTTGAAGAGAAAGATGATTTGGTTCAGATAATACTGGTGATGATGTCTAAAAATCATAAAAATAAATCAAATTTACAATGACATATTTATAACCATATTATATTTTCTTATTTAAATAGAATTGCTGTCATGAATAATTTTCTTTCGGCTATATAGATTAGTTATGTCTGTTTGATCTATAATCTAGTTTTATTTTTATATATCTTACTAAAATAATTGGTTTTTGTATTTGTGTTCTCATCCAAAGTGAACCATCACATGATAAATTTCTTCGTCGTTTTTCTATAAGTGTACGAGTTAATTTTTGTTGATTTATTTTTGGTAATGTTTTAATATGTGAAAATGATTGACTAGAAGATAAATTTTCTTTATTATAATAATTTATATTAGATAATTTTTTAATTTCATTTTTATTAATTATATCTAATGGAGATGATGATTCTGTTGATGAATTATTTTTTAATTTTTTATAATTATTAAATGATGAACGTCGTTCACAATGACAATGTGGACATGATGTATGTAATGAACGTTTAAATGATTTTGTTCCAAAATTTTCTTCTGAATAACCTGAATCACCTTCACCACTATGATGTGATAATGTTGAAATAATTTGTTGTTCAAATTGTTTTCGATTATTTCGACGTTGAGATTTTTTCTTTGTATCAGAATAATTAACAAGTGTTGATGATAGACGATCAAAATGAGTATAATTTGTAGCATTATTAGATAATTTTTGATGACTATGACTAAGATCGATTATAGGCGATGGTGAAGCTAAGTTAGAAAAATATATAATTGTAAAAAAAAACAATAAAATAACATACGATGTTGTCGTTGTATATTAGGAAATTGCTTATTATTCCGATGAAGTTCATCGACAGAAAATGTTCTTGATGTAATTGAATTATTTGTACGTTCTTTTAAAGAACGCCATGAACTAGTTCGACGTACTTTGTTTGATCTCGATGATGAAATCTATAAATCAATATTATTATATCATTCAGTTTTTTTGTTCTTCAAATAATAGTAAATTGATAATTGATGTCTCTCATCTATTTAATAGCTTATATTAGTATATCTTTCATTAAGATTATTTTTATTATTACGTTCATTCAGATTCTCTAGTTTTTTTTCATATGCTATGTATACCTATTAGGCAATTGTTCTTTTCTTATCTCATCTTACTCGATGTGGTAACTATTGTAATATTGACTGATAAACATAAAAGAAAATGGCTCACATATCTTTAAATATTCTCCAATAACATGATTCAAGTTGTCTTAATCACTCGTGGGAAGATGTGTTTGTATTTGCCCTTTAATTCTTGTCATGATATGAAAGCTCCGAACATGATTACTTTTCATCTTATCATTTGTTATATGTTTGTATAAATAGAATAAGAAAAAAAGTTCAATCTACTATGTTATTCTTCATATTGATTAGATGAACAAATTATTGATGAAACTTTTTTTTTTTTTGTTACCGGTCGATCAATGGGTGTTGGTGTTGTATGTAACCATTTCGATAATGATGAACGAGGTTGTTGTTGGATAATTAATGTTCCTGAAGATGAAATTTGTCTATTAGATTTTGAATCAATATTAGTTATTTTGATATTTGAATCTATGAAAAAAAAGAACGATATGAAATTATCTTTTATGTTTAATAACATTATTTAAATTAATAAGATATATATTTAACAGACCTGATCGAATTTGATCGTTAGAACGCGCTACTGTTAATTTTGATCTCGCTCGTTCAAATGCACTTACAAGTAATTTCATAAGCATTTTATATCAATAACAAGAATTTAAAAAAAAAGAATGACGATGATAATGTTCAATGAGTTGTAATGTGTTAAGTGTAAAAGAGAGAAAGCCAAAAACAAGTAACAAATATTTCCGCTCTCTCGACACTAAGATGAGAGAGAGGAAATAACGGAAAGAGAACAGAAGAGAAGAAAGAAAAGAGAATAGAGAGTTATACTATTTGATGAAAGTTTATCGTCTCGTTGTTGACCAGAGATAGTATATTCTTTTTCTCTCTGTATTTCAACAATCATAGTAAAATGAATGTTCTCTATGATTGAACACTACTCAAAATGACAATGAGAACAAAGGTGTTATACATTTTAGTTTTTATGATCGAGTTTTATATGATAATAAATATCCTCAGAGAATAAATCGATCGATTAAAAATTCTACAAAAATATTTTATTAGAAACATTCTCCAAAGACATTTGTTAAATAGAAGTAGTTTATATGTGTTTATTTTCATGACTTTAATTTATCTAAATTGAAATATTTATCAATTTTTTGTTTTTTTTTATCTATAAAAAAGAAATTTTGATATGAATTTAAGAAAGAAACAGCTTGTATTAATCTTAATGATTATTTATGTAAGAAATACAAGAAAAGAATGTTTTCATATCTATGGTTAGTAATTGAGATATCTTCGTATATATTACATCATATTTCCATTTACAGACAATTTGACCGTGTATGCCATTCATTTTCTTATATTCACTCATCAATACATAGGAAGATGGTGTTATCAGCTGCTGCTATATAAATAAAACTGTCTGTTCTGATTTGCTGATCTCATCAACCTCATTTATATAGACTAAAGAAAATTGCACGATATTATATCCATGGGCGAAAGACAGCTTATTCTCATTGCTCATTAGTCGTTTGTGTCCTCGTTCTACGTCCTATGATTACAAAACAACATTGAGAACAATGATTGTTTATCTCATTTGTTGAAGAGTACTTAGTATTCACCGACAAATTTGTTGTTCTTTTTCCTTTCTATATGTCTATTGAACTTAAAACTATAGAATAAAGATTATTGTCTAAAATATTTTTTGTTATCAAACTTACTTTTACGACATAAAACATCTCGAAGTTTTTTCCACATTGATAAACAATATATAATAGTGATTAAAAGCAATAATATGATATGCTATATCGTTTTTTTTTGTTGTGTGTGTTTATAATGACATTCAAGGCTACATGATATTTATGTATATGTATATATAGTAGTCCTTCTCAGTTAATTTTCATTCTATTTTGGCGCCTATCCATTAACTTCTTCCATTAAACATCATCATGTTATAGATACTAAGGACAAAAAAAAGAAGAAGGCAAAGAGAGAGAGAGAGAGTACTTTACATATAATTAAATTATACCAAAAGACGCAGAAAAATGATAAAAAAAAAAAAATCTAATTTTATTGTGAAAATCGAATAAATTAAAGTCTTAATTTAAAAGTAGTTTTGTTCTTTTTTTAATAACATATGGATTAAAATCTCTCGACAAAATCTGAACAAACTATATGTAATAGAGTAAAATATTCTTTACGTCAATGATTTATTTATTCAAGCATATGGTACTTATTTATCTTAATTAATTAAAATATTTTTCCGTTCTTTTTATCGAGGTCTATACGAACTTGAGTTAATTCATAAATCAATAGACTTTCTATTACTTGAAAACCTGTATACAGATCAACCAAATGGAATAAATAAAGTTTATTCTTTGTGTAATTTTCAATGAGTTTTTTTTTCTAATAGATAAATATTGATTTACTGATAAATTATGAAGAATTAGTATTGATACAACTGACATATATCTGTATGTGAATAAATCAATTTAAATGAAATAAAAAATTCCTCGGATAATCAAGTTTAACCACTTGTTCAAGTAATGATTTAATAGGATTTGAAAGATTTAAATTATCTGATTAGATTATATTCTAATTGATAAGCTTCTTTTGAAAATTTATAATAATCCTAAAGAAGTTCAACATATCGTTTTTATGCACTAATATAGACGACATCTGATGTTTTTGATTTTGATAGTTGATGAAATCAATAAATATAAATAGCTGGACTATGTTTATGAATTCTATTCATAAGACATTCGGGTTTTAATTCAATAAATATTATTAGACGACTGAAAATAAACAAATCAAATTTATCTATGAATATTTTTGAATTTCTTTTGCTTCATGAGTAACATAAATAAAAGGATTGACAATTTTTATGACATTCTAAGTATTAGCTTTCAAATTAATCGAATGCATGAATGCTTTTAGGAGATGAATATTATTGATAAGAACGTTTGTTTGATGCAATATTACAACTTTAAAATTTATTGTATATATATGGATTCAATTAGTTCATATTTTAACATAGGAGAAAATTTTGTTATTGTTTTCTATTTTCCTGCAATACGATAAGAGTTGAATAAAAAAAAAAAATTAAAAATTTTCTTTCGAAATGATTACATTACAAATAAGTTTTATTTTATGTAGAATAATATAATTCATTTACTTATAAATATAAACCTGGAGAATATTTGATGAGAGTTCGAACATAATAATTAAATAATCAATGATGTCTTACTTTCTAAAGAAGCTTTGTTGACATGCAATATTAATTAATCTTACTAGGTATATTCGCTGCCATATAAAATATCTTCGTAGTCGTTATGATTTATCTAATGGATATTTTTAGAATTGTAAAAAGAAAAAACGAATTTATTGATGAAAATTTATTTTTTTTAATGTTGTCATTATATTTCATTTATTTTTCGTTTTTTTTGCATTTGTAACATTTGTTTTAATATATAACTTAAAATTGTTCTAATTTATTGTCAGACAAGATTTCCTTACGGGTAAATGATTATGTAAATGGTACACCTGCGATACAGAAAACGATAGACATAATACTTAATCGTTATAAAAATAGGATGATGCATAATAAATGACAGAATTTTGCATCCAATATTTTAATCTCCACATATGTGTTATTAAAAGCAACAAAATATACTAAAAGATGCAATGTGAAAAATTTATTTTAATTCTATACTTTTTTTGTTTGAAACAATTACAATAAACTAGACTGTGTAAATTGTACAGCTTTTCACATTGCATCTTATGATGTACTCTGTTGGTTTTAATAAAATGTATGTTGAGATTAAAATATCGAATACAAAATTCTCTCATATTTTATGGGTCACTCGTTACTTTTTCTTATTTCTATTTCTGTTCATCAAAATGATATTGTTTCTCTATTGTTTTTTCATTATTATGAAAATTACCATCAATTCTATTCAGATATATGATTATATTTAGATCTTTTGCTTTAAGACAAACTATAATTTTCCATAAAAAATATTCTTGCTTATATATTTAACCTACTGAAAGATAATAATTGGAAAGAGAAAAAAAAAATAGAAAGAGGCAACATGTTTTCTCTCTCTCTCGTCATCACCATTTATGAATGCTTAAATAGACATATTCTTCATCTCTTATGAATCTTATACGCGAGTCAATTCAGAACTTTGAAATCATATAACAAAAAGAGAGCATAAGTATTAATGAAAAGAATATTATTTGTAATGAGTGACAATATCTAATAGTTTTATATAAATTCTTTTGAGATTAGCACATTTATTTTCATTTTTGATTAAGTTTTAGAATAATATTCAATAGAAGCTTGACGTTTTCTGAAAGTATGATTACTTCGCATGAAAGCATAAATTATATCACTTCAAGTTCGTTCACTATGTATTTATTTTCTTGATGTTGTCAATCCGATTGTTAGTTTCAGAACTTCCGACAGTCATCATATCAATCTCTATTTTCAACATCTAAAATAACCGTACCAATATAGATTCACTTTTTTTTCTTCAACATATATATGTTAGCGTTCAAAACTAAGTTGTAGAAGAAACCCTCGTTAATACCTACATTGGTCACTAGATACATGTTGAATTTGAATTCTTGGTAGTAAATTATATTGAAACAATGGAATTTCAGATATCACAGTCATCAATGAACAAAAATTGAATTCGAACTCAAACATTTATGGATAATTTTCTATAAAACCTAAACCTTTATAGAAATTCATTCATAACTTGATGAATCCGATTTGAATTTCTCTATTAATGATTGTATGACGTGAAATATCATTGTTTCAATATAATTCATTCAATTTAACATCTATTTAGAAACTAATGAAGATTTTAACTAAAACTTCATGTTCAATATGACATTGAATGTATCCAAATTCAGAATTCTAGACTTGTCTAGACGCATTAAGATTGTACTGAATATAAGATGAGATATTAAGATATATTTTGTTTGAAGAGTACTTTCATCCTGAAAATTATTATCGACAAATTTATCTATCATATGCGCTCTAGGGCTAAGTAGTTTTTTTCTAGAAAATGATTTCTTAAAAGCATTTCGTCTTTTCTGTTGTTTTCTTTTTTTATGATTAGGGGATATTTGGATCATTCAACGATTACTTTTTTTTTTTTGTTTTCGTAACCTTGACTTTTGTTAATATGCATTTGCAAAAAAAAAAAAAAAGAGATATAGATAATTAAAAAATATTATAAATATTTTATAAATTAGTGTGAATAACACATTAGAATAATTACAAAACGGTTAATATAATGGAAAATGATAGTAACTTTTCAATATTCTTATTGAATGATTATTATTCATGCACATTTACAAATGGAATACTTATACGTTATTTTGGTACAATAATTTTTATAATTGGAATTATATCAACATTATTAAGTATTTGTGTATTTACAAGAAAACCTCTTCGTATGTAATTAAATCATTGTTTTTTTTTGGACATAAAACAAAATTTTATTTGATATAGGTCGTAAATCATGTTGTTTCTATTTTTTAATATTAGCTATTAGTGATTCAATACATTTATCAACAATGACAATAGAACATTTACCATATAGTTTTAAGATTGATTTAA